TCCATGGCGGTCAGTGACAAGAGCCTCAAATGAGAAGTCAGACTCTGCCAGAAAATCCAGGCATTTCTGAAATAGTAAAGCCAAGTACTCCATTGCCTGACTGCTACCAGCTTCATTCCTCTGTTAACAATAAGAAGTAATAATAAAATTGTTTGACTCATTGCATGCAATTACACTCCTGTTAGGAATTCTGTTTTATATTTTTAATCTAATTGGGGACAACAATTTTTGTTTTTATACCTGGACAAGTGAGAAATCAATTATAGCAGGTTCTGTGCAACAAAATATTGTGTAGGCACAATACTTAGCACTATGCCCCATGCTATCGTGCCTTCCATCTCCTGCTAATACCAGAGGTTCTTCGTTGCTTTTTAGTTGGTCCATCAATGCTTTTTGGTATTTTTTCCAATGTTTCAGAATAGCTGGAAACAGTTTGTCCTTCACATAAAAATAATAAAGATGAATAAGAATTAACCCATCAAGTGGTATCACTATCCCCCTGCCAAGTAAAATCTTATGGCATTAAACAGTAAACAGTTAACAGGGTGCATGGGCAGTCTGAGTATTCCATTGAGTGGCAGCACTCTCCCTCCAATGATTAAGATTATTTGGTGTTAGACAGAGTAAAATAATAAAGTAGGGCGCATATGGACACATTGCAAAGGGGAAAACATCAATTATTTTTATATACATTAAATTAAAATTAAATCACAGCTGACCAATGCAATGAGTTACCAGTAACATGACAGTGTATATATGGAGAAATAGTCTCATAAATAAAGCCTCAACCAAATTCAAATCAATCCATAATATTATTGGACTTTTATCATTTACTTTATCCAATCAAATTTCAAGCCATTCTGTTGAACAGGCCTTGTGTTTAATAAGGAGAACTACTAAAAAAATTTAACATAAGGCAAGATCAACTGTAAATTTGACAAGTAAGTAAAACAATATTATGAATAAATTTGTTAATTAATAATACACAAATAAGATTGATGACACCAGCCTGCACATGGCCACTCATGATTAACTATCACAAGTGTTCTGTTATGTTAGGCACTGAGTCATTAAAAAGCAATGAATGTTAATCTCACCCTCTGATGATTGTAGAAGGTTCTCAGTGAAATGCATGACAATCCCATATGAGAAAGGACTCTCAGCACTTTGCTTGCAGAGGCTCCAGCCAACAAGATTGCAAAACTTAAGAGAAAGTTTCCTGCAGTTATTTTGGTTCCTTCCATGTTTGGTTGACTATGCCACACAGACTCTCTTTGTTTGCACTCAGGATTACCACATTGTGTGTGTACTGTAACCATTGTGCCACATTCAGTAGTTTCGACCAGTGGGTTATCAGCTTTGCACGATGGACAAATATTAAAAAGCAGTAACAGTTGGGAAAAGAACACTACATATTTGGGCTCTGTCCGAAGGTTGCCAATAGGTTTATTAGTGCTAAAAGACAGGATGTAAAACTTAATTGAATGGCAATAACAGTATAGTTTACAAGCCTGATCAAAGGCTGTTGAGGCCGATTCACTGATCAAGTAACCACAAAGACTGACAGACATTGCTTCGCAACATCCGGCCAGGACACATGTGGATTATTTTTGTGTCCCACCAGGACACATGTGGATCATTTTCTTAACATGGCTTCTTATATTATTATAGTATAACTATGACATTTGTGATGTCCAGCATTAGTGAAAAGTGTCAGTCCAGAGGTGTCAGTCACCACCCAGTTGGTGCCTGAAAAACTGTCCACAGCACCACTCTCCATGGCAGCCTTCAAAAAATATTTTTAGGCTTGATAGTTCACCAGTGAAAATATCACAGCAACAAAGTCATCTAAGGGCTATAATAGAAGATAAATGCCAAAGCAAATAGTAATAATTTATAATCTTATTTACCTGGTCTCGATATTGGATGATTGATCAGATTCCTCTTCTGTAAGTTCTGTTTCCATTTCATATTCCTGAGAACTTCCCTGAGATGGTTCATCATCTGTACTTTCTGAGTTCTCAACAGTTTCAAATTCCTCGCTGGTGCTTTGTGGGTTTTCTCCTGCAAACTTTTCTACTATTTCAATGAATTCAATCTCTAATAAAATACATACAGCATGGCATATGGTAACCAATAACTACAGTAGCATACACACTGTATTATCACAGTTAATAAATACAGTCTATACTGAGGCTAGCAATAACAGACATTATAAACATTCATTACGGCATACAAATTATATAATATATAAGATCTGATGTGATGGGGACCATGTCTCTTGTATTAAAATATTAATTCAAGCCCATGCAAGGAGCTTACTTGAACGTAATTCAGCGGTGATTTTCTTCTCCTTGATCAACTTATGATTCTCATCCACAAGTTTATTACGAAGAAGTCTGTTTTCCTCTTGCATGGTGACACATTTGTCACACACGTGTGTGGCTATTGTTTGAGTGAATTTCTCACTTTGTATCCGTTCATCGTCCTTTGAGGTCAAACAAAAACAATTGGTAAATTGTGGATAATCATACATATGGTGTAAACCAGCCTCACAATGTGTATTAATTTTATAAATATGTATTTAATAACAAAGCTAAGTTTGTAACAAACCGATTTGCGGTGTGCAAATTTAATACAAAGAATTAAAGTGAAGTGTTACATGTAAATATTTACCAAAACAATGCTTCCTGCTGCAGAGCTGCCATGATGCACAGTTTCCTCCATAAAAACATCTATTTCTCCCAACTCAGTTGATGTAGATGGCGTAGATGTTTGTTGCTCTTCTGCGGTTGTTGCATGTTGTTCTTTCGTAATCTATAAAAGGGGTTTTTGCGGTAATCAATAGAAATATTGTGAGATTTATTATATCGTATTTATAAATATGCGAATGTTTTTCAATAGTGTCTCACCTTGCGTCTAAGCGCTCTTGCTGTTCTCTTTGATGTTGTATCTTCGTCGCCTTCGTTGGCAATCGAAAGTGTTGGAAACGATGAAACACCGACTTCATCTTTTTTCAGCCACGGAATGTACGTTGTTTCTTGCCCAGGCAAATTTACTTTGCGAACAAAGGCGTCCGGTTCAAAATGCTTCGAGCATATGCAGCTTGTACTGGAAGGCTCCCATTTAACGCGTTTGCGCTTAACAAAATCGACCCAGCGCTTGCGTCGTTTTATCGCCTCTGGCCTCGAATCACCATCGTAAGGAATCTTGTGAAGTATTACACCGTTTTTCGGATCAGGAGTGTTAGAACAGCCAAATACAACACAACGCGAAGGCATTTTACATTCGCATGCTTGGCCAAACAATAGTAAATTGATAGTAAATTGAAACTAGAACAATCACTTCCGTTCCCGATTTGACGTCACAAGCCTTATTCGGACCCAGACTCATTTCTCCCGGCCATGTTTAGAAAAAAGGCAGGTTTAGAGCCAAATATCTAAGAAAATATTTATCGGATAAGGGAATGCATTATATCATTAGAATCGTCTCGCCATGGCCAATTTTTCAGTGAAAAAATGAAAATTCTTTCATATGCACTTAATAATTTGTGTAAGCAGTGCTTCCATTCTCAGATTTTGATTTTCTGTATATCGAAAAGAAAATTTCCATATTTGAAATGAAATTTCCATAGATAGTGTGCCAAAATTTCCATAGAATTTTCTACAATTATTGTATCTAATTCCTTATTAATAATGAGTATTTTTTAAACAACAAGAACAAAATAGGTAATTTTTATTGTTTTAAACTTTAATGATGCTTTAAACTATATAAGGCACATCATATAATTGTTTTACTAGTTAAGTTTTAACATTTTTCAGTTCCTTCAAAAACTCAGCTCTTAGTTTCCCTGCATCTTCATCTTTTGCACTGGATTTCATTCGCTTATGTAGGTCAAGCATTTCACTTGAAGGATCCATCATAACAGCCTGTCGTTTTCCTTTCTTCAGGAAGGAATACTTGGTGGAAAGTAATGCCAATAAACTTTCTTGCTTAAGTGATGCCCTATGATCACTCTTGATAAGTTTCAATTGACTGAAAATACGCTCAACAGCAGCATTTGAAAATGGCAAGGATAACACAGTGGCTACTAGTTTCGTTAAATTGGGATAAATCATTTCTCCAACTTGATTTTTCTCCTTAAAAACAACTGTCCAATATTCCAGAAAACTCATTTCTCCATTCAAGTTGGGGCACAGTGCATGTTGCCGCCATTCATTATCAGCTTCTTGCAAGTCTGCAACATCCTTAAGCTGTGCCAATTGTCTATAGACTTGCAACAAAGATACTGGAGACAGTGCATAAGCAGAAACAGGTGTGAGGAATGATAAAAAGTCAAGCTTATCACAATCATTGAATCGTGATAAAATTTGCTTCACAGCTTCAATCTGAAAGTTTCTACAATGAGTAAAAAATAGCTGGATACCAGGATGATCCACACCAAGATCATCTTTAATGGTCTGCATGGTGTCTGTTGCACAAGGTCCCACATAAACGTGGTTCAGTGGGACATAATGCTCTTGGTCATTAATATCAATAAGCCATGGATCAGCTTGTCGTATAAATGATACCTATATGATAAAAAATTTAACAGTTAAAGTGATAAAAATTGACTGGTGACTTGCCCTCCCTATTCAATAATATATTTTAAGTAATTGAAACATCATTATTATTAATATGTACGTTCATGAAATCTGATAATAATGAAGTCAGCAGAGTTTTTAATTCACTTTTCAGCAAGTAGAGGACAGGAATTCCACTTTGGAACAAGGTATTAAAAGAAACAAATCTTCCAAGGTTAAAGGCCATAAACTGAAGATATGCCAGGGTAAACTTGTTGTTGAGACTCTTCAGAATGTTATCATTGGTATGTGTAGGATCTTCCAGTGCTGCTCCTGTGAAATATAGCTTCAAGGCTTCATATTGTTCGATAATCCTGTCAACGCACATCTTCATTGACAACCACCTGGTTTGTCCAGCATTCAGAAGCTGATGTTTTTCAATATCAAAGAACTCTTGAAATTCCTGAAAATTCTTTGTTCGTAGTGGAGATAAGTGAAAATATGAAGCTATATTTCGACACACATCTTCTAAAGACTTTGGAAGCTGTAGGGATGCATGGGAAGCACAAAGGTGGATCATGTGGCAGGAACACTTGATAGGTATTATCCATGGATAGTTGGCTACCAGCATTTGTGCAACAGAGTGATGTATACCGAACATTACATTACAGGTGTCTGCACAAAACCCGATTATATTCTCCATTGGAATACCTTTCTGCTCAAAGCATTCCACTATAGCTTTGAAAATTGTGTCAGCTTTTCCATCATCTAACTGGACAATGTCAATTAAGTCACAGTCCATTTTAAATGTATCTGGATTGAAGTAGGTCACCAATACTGCCAGCTGATTCTTACGTGAACGATCTGTTATCTCATCAATGATCAATGAAAATTTTCGAGACTTCAGACCATTAATGGAGTCGGCCTTTTGGGTATTGAATCCCAGAACCTGGCGAATAACATTTGTCGCTTTCTGCTTTCCCAATGTTGCTTTTTGAACTGTCTTATTCGATGGAAATAAGCTGGACAGTAGGGCTAAGAGATCATCACTTAATTGGATGGGCAGATTATGTTCAAAAATAAAGCTACATAGTTTTATTTCTAGTTTCGCCACAGACTTGTCTGTTGCACCTAACAATTCTCCAATATTTAAATGCGATCTCCTTAGTTCAGCAGTCATCTTACATGCCTCTGTGTGTCCTTTACCTTTCATATGTCTTGTAAGAGCAGTTTTGGAACAGGAAAGTTTTACCTTACATACCTTGCAGTAAGGTACACTATTGCCATTTGTCCCCTTTGTCTCCTGAATCCATCCCTTGAAATTCGCATTGGAAAGCCAAGCATTACAAAACTTCTGTTCATACGTTCGTTTTTTCTTTCCCTCTTGTTTACTCTGTTGCTTTTTGAGCTCATTATCTGTATTTTCTTCACTTGAGGAGTCGCTTTCACACTCCATTGCGTTCATGCTTGATTGCCGCCACGTTTGCGATGTTTTCGCGCCAAATCCATTAATCCCACTTTAATCTACGCTCGACGTCATAACATCCCTTTATATTACTTAATATCCTCAATTATCCTATATGTTCCATGCTCCTAGCCGCTCCTAATGACCAATACTAGCCTGTTACCACGTTATGCAATCGTAATTCAAAAATCAAATTTTATACTGAATTTTAAAAAGTCTATTTGGGTAAATCTTAAATTATAGCAATCAAGTTCGAATTTCCATAGAATTTCCACATTTATTTTGTTTCCATAGAAGTTTCCTTTTCACACTAAAATTTCCATAAAATATGGAATATTCCATAGAAGTGGAAGCACTGATTTTAGCAGTCTTCCTGTTGTAGTTCAACCCCCCCTGAAACCAAATTTTTACTATAAATACGTCACGAACTGTTTATTTTTTCAACCAATTGAATCACATAATTTTTTTAAAAATATGACGAATGAAATAACCTCTGGCATCCCGCATAGTCACATCAAAATTTTCATCAGACCATGAAACGTTTGTGCAAATTTTTCATCTTTCTTACAGTCTTGAAAACAAAATTTATATGCGGGTATGTAGAAAAAATATCAGAGTTCAATGTGGTATAATTTTTTATCATGTTTTATTTACGTATACGAAGTATTTTGCGTTTTGCCGAAGTCGTATATTCGTCAGTTGAGATATAGTTGCCAACCTTAGGTATAATCTATATATCTGATATCAACACTGCTTTTCAAATTGAGTGCTTGCGGCGCGCGACAAATGACAAATGACATGGGGCGAGCTTAATGCAAATTGACATTTGGAAGCATTTTTGGTGCATTCTATACGCCGTTTTGGGCTGCCTATGATTATATACGCAATGATAGTATCAGTTCGGTATTCGCAGTATCGCCCACCACTATCAGTTATAAATATATCAATAGACCTTTCCCTTTATAACTAAAATTTTGATCTAGACAAGTCTAGATCAAAATTAGTAATATTCCGAAGTTTCGTTGCGAAATGTTGTAAAATGCGGATAATATAGCCCTGCGAAATTTACAATTTTCAGTAATTTTGTATTACAAACGGGAAATACAAAATGACTGAAAAACGGCAAACTTCGCAAGGCTATTATCCTATATTATCCGCATTTTACAACATTTCGCAACGAAACTTTGGAATATTACTAATTTTGTGATGCTCTTTCAAGCTGTGATGAAATTTTTGTCCAGATCAAAATTTTAGTTATAAGGGGAAAGGTCCATTATAAAACAAACAATACATCAATATTTAAAACAAACTTACCTTCATTAACGACAGCGACTTTGCTCTATTCTTTTAGACGTTTTTTGGCTCTCAGAAAGGTTTTGAAATTTAATTACAATTTGCAAAATCTTGCAAAAATACAACTTGCAAGAAATATTCGTCATTTCGCTGTCGTCAATGCAGTCGTTATAACACAAATTTCAAATTTGACCAATCAGTGTTCACTATCACGACAGTCCGCTACATATTTTGAGATCAGTGAGGATGACCACCCATGAACAGTGAGCCATGCGCCCACGATATCTGATGAACTTTAGACTTCGCTAGTGCGTTCCTTTCCCCGGGTGTAAATAGCCGGGCGGAATTAGTACCCTCGCACGGCGCTTCGTGCCGTCGGCTCGGGGATTAGAAACTACGATTTTCCAAGTTTGTGTTCAAATAAAGAATGTAATGCACCTATCAATGTTAATCCCCAGACATATGTGGGGTATTTGATCATCAATTGTACCCTTAGCCTGGGGATTTTGATTAGCATTTTGGCCCCGAGTTATGAATTGGGGCAATTTGAACCGAATGACTTTTATTAATATAGCATTTATTGCAATTTATTGCAAAATGGTGGGGGTATTTGACCAATATTTATTGCCCGATGGTGGGACATTTGATTGAAAATTTGCTCAAAAAATCAAATGCCCCACCTATGCCCGAGCCCCCCCCCCCCCTTGGGGTTTAGCATTGATAGGTGCATAAAAGAGAAGAAAAATACACAACAGGCAACAGGATATTCTGCTGAAACCGTTTAAGTAGGTTCTTTTAATTTTAAACGCGTTTACACTATAGAGTTTTTGTCACGAAATACAGTTCTATGAATGTTGTTGAATGTTGATTTTTGTTCGTCGCTGTATAACAAAACGCTTAATGTCTGTTCCCTTGGGAAATAGTTAGTTTTGTTTTCCCTCGAATCTCAATGTTTCCCTCGAATCTCAATGTTTCCCTCGACTTCGTCTCAGGAAACATTGAGACTCTTGGGAAAACAAAATAAACTATTTCCCTCGGGAGCAGGCATTAAGTGTATACAGTATAAAAGTCTTTTTCCTAATAACAATATTCAAGTTATGCTTGTTATGTTACTCTGAGTGTATATCCACACGGGCAAGCTTGAAAAATATGCCTGACCACGGTGGGAATCGAACCTACGACCTTTGGAATACTAGCCCAATGCTCTGCCAACTGAGCTACGCGGTCTGGTCGGTTCGAATATGTGAGTTTCGGAACAGAATCTAGTTCCTTCGATATCAATGTTATCTAATAATGATCATGATTTTTCTGTGTTGGTTTCTGTTCGATTCCCACCGTGGTCAGGCATATTTTTCAAGCTTGCCCGGTGTGGATATACACTCAGAGTAACATAACAAGCATCATATTCTCCTGAGTACAATTACACCAACACAGAAAAATCATGAATATTCAAGTTAGTTTAAGTTGTGAGATGACAGTTTGTCTTGTCCCTTATTGTTAGTTGCTTGCTTGTTATTATTATTTTGTTGTTTTTGAGTTATTCGTTTGTTTTTGTTGCACAGTAGATACGTCGGCTTTCTCTTATACCTCTGGTGTAAAGAACGTTTTCAATCCATTTCCAGCACCTTCCAAAGTTACACCACGAAAGAATAAGATAAGAAGAATAATATATGGAAATGTTGCTGTGAAGTACACGGCCTAAAACGAACAAATATAATAGAAATGTTATGAAATGAACAATATGAAAGGCCTTAAATTAATTTTTTGACCTTATTGAGCAAATCTCTTAATTTGACTCGGAAAGCCTGCAAAACCATATCGTGCACATCCACAAATATACCAAACATACGTCCTACCTTCCAGATAAAGGGATAGTGAAATTCTCTTAAATTTAACTCGTGTTTGTTTCTCAGTGTTAATATGCCTAATCTAGGTTAGTTTAAATCATGTTCCAGAGTATAAAAGATCCAAACTAACTCGAGTCAAACTGGGGTTTCCAATGTTTGCACTTAAAGGAAACGAACCCGGGTTAAAATTATCCAGGGTCCAACCGTCCCCAACCCGGCTAACTGTTTGAAGCGGTGCATGTAAATCGTCGTAGTGCATGTAAATCTGGCTAATGAGTAATGAGTTTTACAATGACTATTATAAGATTTTCCCCCAGAGTGGAAGATGAATGTACCAATTGCCAAATAAACGTCAGTCTCATACCAGTACTGAAATAATGGAAGGTTTCATTGACATTAGGGAGAGAAGTTTGATTTCAATAACCGTTACATGTTAACTCAACAAGCCATATATACTAATCAAGGTACGTATATGTGTAGAACTTGTGATTAAGTGAGAAGACGTAGGCCTACTAATGGGCCAATTGCGGAATTGTTAAGCATATCATGGTAGTTTAGTTTGACAACAGAATTTTTCAACATGGTGCATATACTTTTCGAACACGGGAAGGTGTTAAACACATGAGAATTGCCAAGGAGAATTGCAAGAAAACTTTTATCGTTTTCGCTTTGATTAAAGTTTTGACGACTAAATCTGCTTGTTTCATATTTCTACTGCGTCTTAGGCTTGTACGAGCGAGTGTGGTTGAAATATCAATCAACATGCATGGCGTACAAAGTCGCTGAAGCGGGGAAGCAGTTCGATTCGTAGTAGTCAGGTACAAATTTTTGAATATTTCACAACATAAAGGTGAGTACCGCATTAAATTATTTTGGAGGTAAGGAACACGTTGTAACTTATTGTTTGCCTAAAAATTTCAACGATCGGTTTAATTCTAGCAACTCGTACTTTCATGTGATGCATATAAACATTTCGTGTCATGTGCGCTGTAAAATCACCACAAATGTAGCGAATAGCCAGTAGCGCGTTATTAGCATATATTACGCCTGCATGAGCACTGAGAATATCACAACAGGAAAAATCCGGCCGATTGACTAACCTTTCCAGTAGACTTGATCCCTTTAATAACACATATATAGACAATGATCCAGGCCAATATAAAACATCCCACCAATTTCCAATTCAATCCGTTACTGTAATCCTCTATGTCTGTTGAGACTTCCAATGCCTTAGTATAGAAATACCACTGCTGTGGGTCAATCACACAGCAATCTGCAAAATTGTTTATCTCAAACTGCGTCTGGTTTAACTTAGACTTAGTTGTATTTAAAACATTCCATATAGAGGCATTTTTATCTGTCATGGCTTGATAATGAGAAACATTGCTGGATAATGCATCTGCTTGGCTTTTTAATGCGTTATAGGCGTCATATTTTGTACAGAGCTCTTTCCCTTGCCAAGGTAATTCAGATTGCATGGAGGAAAAGAGGTAGAAAATACACCATGCGATTACCACTACGTAATAAACGGACAGGAACAATGAAACAGAAATGCAGCAAATACCGACACCAAACAAAGCTGGATGGATGCCTTTCCACAAATTCACTGCTGTAGATCTCATTTTCTGTCCTATCGCGAACTCCAGCAACATCAAAGGCACGCCTTCGATGAACATGAAGATGACGTATGGGATCAGGAAGGCTCCTGAAGAAAAAATATCGAATAAATAAAACTTGACTGTTATATTATAGATGGGGAAAGGGGGCTAGAAAAATTCAAGGCTGGGGTGATGTGTTTCCCCGAGAAATTTTATAATCTGGCCATGCAGTCTATGAAATTATCAGATTTCATGCAAATTCGTGCATATATATTCTACAGTACAGAACAGTACATGGCACGAGACTGTCAAGTCATCATATTCCATTGAAAATGAATGTTCGTATACAAATAAGCCAGGCCGACTTCTAAAGTAAATTAAGTAATATCAGAAAACATTCTGCGGATATTCCGAGTTTTAGTTCACTAGGTAAAGGATGGCATGCATCGTGTGTGCTATTCAGGGAATGAGTGACACGTCCCGAGTTACAAGCAATCCTGCAATCGTGTAAATCAGCAACACACGGCCAACTTTCGTGCGAATAAATTATGCCAAACGTTTACACAATAAGAGTTCGCTACTCTACGGTTGAGAACGGATTGAGTGCATATCAGCCAATAGTTTGAAACTGTATAGTTTTGACTATTGTTTCGTTCCGGCAGTAACGACGCTTTACGTTCATACATTTATGTGCTTCGGTGTTAACTATTAGTTAACATACACAATTCAACGAAAATGATATGAACGAATATTAATCATTTATGTTATAATAAGGATAGCTTATTTTCTAAATCAAGATTATTATATATCAAAACATAGGTTCAGCCCGTTCAGGGGCGTACCGAGCGAGGAGAGGGTTGTTGGGGGGTGACACCCCCAGTTTTTTGAAAATCGTTGGTAAATTTTGAAAATCGACGGTAAAATGATACAATCGTCTAAAGCGTTCGTTAAAATTACGAACGCCCTGTTCGCACGCGCCAAATTTTTAAGACGAACGTTGTCACTACATGGTTCTAAAAATCATCTAACCTCTCCTCCCCCTCCCCCGCTCGCCAGGATTTTAGAAAAACGCCCCCCCCCCCCAAGCGTAATGGCCACTGCATAGGTTATTGTTTAGCAAAGGGCTAAGGGAAGACCTTACAATATACCTTTACATAAGCAAATTCTGCCAATCAAATGAACTTACCTCCTCCATTTTTCTGACATAAGTATGGAAATCTCCACACATTTCCCAAGCCAACAGCCAGTCCAATGGAGGCCAAAAGAAACTCAGCTTTATTTCCCCAAGCAGCACGATCGCCTTCTTCTATATTCAGTTGACCAGCTTCTGATGAAGAACCTGGGGCTAGATGTATAAAAAACAAGCCATTATTTAAACGTATATATAGTCTACTTCATAAGCAGTGATCTGAAAACGTTTGATCATGTTTCAGATCAAAAGTTGTTGCCTTTCTTTGGTTTATGTCTTCATACCTTATGGAAGCAGTGCAGGCGTAGCCATCCCGACAATTTAGTCCCGCACTTAGTCCGATTTGCATAGCGGGACTAAATCGTCGGGCTTGCTACGGATTAAAAAAGGCTTGAAAAAGAATGAGTGTGAGTCCATAACAATGCAAACTTTCTTTAAGGAAATTAAACTGTTAGGGAATATTAATATCATTATATAATGCATTGATTATTGGCAAATTTTTAAATTAACTAATGCCCAAAAAGCTCAGTAAATGTACCTTTTAAAATCACTCAAAACAAACAAAAACGATTTTGGTGAGAGATTAAGGAAATTTAACTGATAGTAAGCAATTTTTTCCAGAATCTAAGAAATTCATAGAAAATGAAAGTGCCAAGCCTAATATTCTTCAGTTCTGCATTTAGTTTCGGCTTGGTTTTTGTAGTTGTACAAACGATTGTTTTTCTCGCAGATTGTTGGGTTGCTTGTTAGAGGCAAAAACACCCTTACATTAAGAGATCTACGAAATTGGTGTAAAAAGGATCCGCCATCTTGAATTTTGATCCGATATTACATGAATTATTCCGATTTGTGGCCAACGATGTAAAACCGAAAACGTAAGTCGCCGGTGCCCATGCAGGGCTAATAATTACATTTGTTGAGTGTTTCAACTTTATTTCTTCTAGCACCATATAGCATGGAGCTATTAGAAATATTAAGTATAATAGACAATTCCCATTATAGACTAATTTTAAAACTAGGCAAATAAATCACCACAGCGTACACTAAAATGAGTAAAATTGCAAAGTTTGGTTGCGAAATGTTGTAAAATACAAAAAATGTAGCCTTGCCAAGTTTGCAAATTTTGTATGCTTTTGTATTGCGTGCGGAAATTGCTACTATTTTCGGACCAAATGTGGTAGCAATTTCCGCTTGCAATACAAAACTAATTGAATACAAAATTTGCGAAATTTGCAAGGCTATATTTTCCGCATTTTACAACATTTCGAAACCAAACATTGCAATTTTACTAATTTTAGTACGCTCTTTCCGGGGATATACTTTTTTTGCAAGATAAAAAATTAGTCTATAATGGGAATTGTCTATTGGCTAGTTTATAGAATAATAACAAATAATGACAAGCAGAATGACAATCAGATGTTGAAACTGTAGCAAGAAAACCACCAGAGGGTTGCAATTGTAATTGAGATGTTTCACCAAGGCAGCGGTATGGACATTACGTTCAACGCTATTGCCACCGAATGTCAAGCACACGATATCAGTCGATTTTAAATGTCCGTTTATAAAAGATGGAAGATATATATTGGTCCGCTTGTGATCTCTACAGTCGGTACCCAGTCGTGGGATATTGTAAATCATCCTCGTTTAAAAACGTCAAACCAATTTTAGACTCAATGTTCGCTACTTTTGGACAAGTACATACCGTTAAGACCATGGCGCTAGCGCTGTAAAACACAGGCGGGGGAACGGCTATGGCGCTCCCGTAATGCCCGCATGCTGGTTCGAACAGGGGTGTTTGTTTTAGCTTTAAAATTACGATGTAAAAAATACAATTCGAGCTGAATTCACAATGGATTTTGGGGTTCTGTGCTATTAGAAGACAAAAGCTTTATCGGGATTAATAATAGTGATATAGGGAATGTTGTAGATTTCACTGCGGGGATCGACATTACGACTATTTATAGTACGACTCATGAGGTGATCAGGATTTTTGGACCAGGAACTGGTCCCCAATCGCTGCTAATCTTCCCCTTCCCCTTCCCCTTCCCCTTCCCCCTCCCCTTCCCCTTCTTCTTCTTCTTCTTCTTCTTCTTCAATCAATCAATCAATCAATCAATCAATCAATCAATACAAATTTATTTAAACACGGTAAAATCTTCTGTACATGGATAATCTAACTATTATAAGCGTAATAAGACAGTTATAAATTACATACACACATCAATTATAAAAAAATCTAAAAATTATCTACTACTGGTTTACAAGATTGCCGTGTGGGAGTTCACTTGAATTATTATAATACTTATCTACAGCTTTCTTAAATTGTGGAAATGTTTGAAGCTTTCGTATATCTTGAGGAAGACTGTTCCACAAGTAGGCACCACTATAACAAAAGCTTCGTTTTAAGTAATTTGTTCGTGGCTTGGGCAAATTTAATCTTGTCTCAGAATTTCTTAAATTGTACCCTGTGTCACGAACTGAAAAAAGTCTTGTAGATATGACGGTACATTCCCTTTGAGAGTCTTAGGGACCGGTCATAAAGTAACTGCTAGGGTGGGCCGGAGGAAATAAGGATGGGCCATGAAATTATTTTCATCAGTTTGGGTGGGCCATCAAGTTGTTTTGGTGCAAATGGATGGGCCAGGAAACACTTATAGCCATGTTTTCACTCATTACATACTATAACAACTACACAACATTCCTATTAAAATAAACAACATTCAATATATAACAAAATAATAGATTTAAAGTGAATTCAAAATGAATAAAAACATAATCCTGTTATTGTTAATATCATTAAAGGTAGGTTACAGTCGCATCTGCGCATGCGCTGGACTTTGTTTACGTTTTTTGTTTTGATCCACATTAATTATATAAGATGAAGTATATGACGAGTTCAAAGTAACATTCCACATAATTTGTGACCGAGGAGTGCAATGTTTTACAATACTTCGCTGCATTTATTGTACATTTCTACACTGGAAATGTTTGTACACAATAACACAATCTTATACTGTAACTCTTTAATTAACTGTAAACATTGTGAATAAACAGGCCGCTTTGAACCTTGTGTGACTTGCTATATACAACAGCTGGGGCGGCGAACCGAAATCCCGAAGGTGTGAGTTCGAATAATTTGTGTTTAGTGTTTACCTTTGGAGTTTGTGTCTAATCACGAAAATAGTTCATGTGGTAACAATCCCTCGAAACATGTTGCCAGAGTTGTTGTTGTCATTATGACAGAAGCACTTGGGGAAAGCTTTTCGCTTGACGAAATTCGAAACAAGTGTGATAATTTGAGAAATGTGGCTGCAGTTCCTGTCTTCGTGGCAAAGCCAAGGGCGAAATTTTTGACCGTGCAAAAGCTGGATAAACAGCTTTTGTTCAAGCTCGTGCGCGCTATGGAGATAATTTTGGATGCTGTTTTAATATAAACAACAGAAGAGTAGTACGAGACGCTAAGATTACGAGAGTACGAGACGCTAAGATTATATTAAACTTTTTTGTGTTATAAAAATGTATGTTTTGAAATTATGAACTGGAAGTATCAATTCATTGATATTACTCTCATATTGACACTAAATGATGATATTCTTGTGACACTGAATGATCTAATATTAGCTTCAACAATTCTGGTGATCAGGTTACTTCATCATGTCTCTTCAAGACGGAGGACAATTGTAAATATATGCTTGTTTCGCTCTATATCAGAGCTCATCAGAATGCCCAGGAAACACTAATGAAATTTTGATTTACATCAACGAATCTTTCTTTTTTTTAACAGATTTATTGGGTTATATGGTAATATATATATATATATACAGACATTAAAGGAGAACTCCAAGGGGTTAAAAGCACAAACATGACTCCAGGGCTTTATTTATAGCCTTTATATGCCCCCTGAGAATACTGAATATAGCTACTAAATATAATTACAGTTTGTAACATGAACAATAAGATAAGCACCATTTACATCAGGGTCTGAAATTTATATTTTTTCTCAGTATCCAAAGGGGATACCAGGATTCAAAGTTTAGTATATCCTATCCCATCCAAATAAGTTTCCATAACACTCACTGTTACAAATTACAATAACAACTGAGGAGACTCCACAGTCAACAACAAATAAACAATTAATCCACATAATTCTTCAACAAACTTCTATATGCTAGTCCTCAGTGAGGAAAGACTGGTGGTAAACTGATAATATTCAAAAACTTTCAGGAGCCCATCAAAGAAAATTTTTTAGTATCCAGTCAGGATAGTATTATTCATAATTTGGTATCCAAAACCAAATTTTTGGTATCCTGTGGATATCGGGATACTAAAATATATTTCAAACCCTGTACATAAGAACCTGTTTAGGCTAACTTGGAAAGAAATCTAGGTTCTTATTCGCAGGGTTTTACTGTGTTGTCTAATTTTGTCCCAAAACAGACCATGCACGGCAGCCTGTTCTGGCAACATAGATAATGGGATGGTGCCACTCTTTGTGACACAAAATCAGGCAATTATAGTACAATATGAACTGACAAGTGTCTGGCACCTTAAAATCAGATTCCTTTGTGTAGATGGAGCTCATAAGCCTTGGCTGGCAATCCATCTAGGAGAAAGAAAGCTCTGATTTCAAACCCCCAGACCCCACTTTTGGACAAGACATGTATAGTAACTATATCAGTCATGATCATCTAAAAATGCCAGTATATATGCACTTATACAAAGCTGTATGCACTGTAAAGCTACACTTTATTTATCTCAATGACATTTTCAGGGTTCTGGATCATTTTCATTACTTTGTGAAGAGTTTATTCTCTTTGATTTTTATACATTTTTAGATCTGACTGGTCTCCATGTGATAAAATAAGAACCTGAAATACTAGCCTAAACAGATTGAGTGTCTAAATACTGAAAAATTAGCCTGACAGGCCCTTATACAGGTTCTTATATGCAAGCTTTTACTTACAATTAGGGTGGAAAATATACTTTTTAGTTGAGTTTGTTTACATCATATAAGTATTTGTGATCAAAATCTTTTATAAACTAAATGTCTTAGGGGTGTTTATATGGAAGCAAGCCAGCCCAGTTACCTGAGCTAGGTGGCTTTGCCTAGCTAATTTCATCATGTAGCAGGCTGGCACCAAAACAAATCATCGCGAGAAACTGTCATGGTTATGACCATCACAACTGTTCACAGAGGTATTAATTTATAAAATTATAGATCAAAAATCTGTTGAGAAAGTCTTATTTACTACAATTAGTACAATATATTCGTATTGAGCGGCTTAGGCAAACCAGCCAACCTAGGCGAGATCTGGGGCTCTGTCGGGCTTCACAAATTAAACAAGATCTTGCTTAGGCAAGCAAGCCTGGTTCTCATATACACACAATACGAATATTAGTATAAATTATCTAGCAACATTAGATCTCGGCCAAGCGAGCTAGCTCAGGCACCCGAGCTGGCTTGCCTCCATATAAACACCCCATTAGGTCAAGTACTGTAACTTCAGTCTTCAGAGCAACTAAAAGGCATTTAAACTGTTATGTGCTTTGATCAAATTAAAATCTACTTTAACTTTGATCAGAGAAACTTTTTGATGTGTTTCTATTAAGTTTTAAGTGAGCACAAGTTGTCCATGAGCAGACAGTCAAAGACAGTAAAGCACTGCCACAGCCCAGGGGTTTCAGAATGATTTGAAGTAGGCGGTTGTACCAAAAAAGTAGCCGGCTGTGACTGATAGTTAAAATATCGCGCGGGGAGGGGAGTGTGCCCTCGCATGGAAATTTAAAAAATTTTCGCCGCAAATTAACAATCAAATAATATAGAATACGTAAAAAGACAAAGTACAACTATTAACATGTTAGATTTAGATGTCATTTGCATTTAGGAGTGGACCATTTGATTTTTTGAGGGGGGGGTTGGAAGATTCAGTCTGTGCAAGAATTGTTTTTCCACCCAGGGGAATAAGACAGATATTTTTTTCCAGTAAAAGTGCAGCACAAGATATTTTTTTCCCAATATATTTCGCAGCAGGATATTTTTTTGTCCTTCATAATAACTGCTTACAGTAACTTAAGGCTTTCATATAGCTATCGTCAGAGACGTTAGCCAGGGTTTTCAGTCAGAGGAGGCCGAGCCTGAATCCCAAGAGGGGCAAAGGAATTTTTACTGCAGTGCTTTATTTTATATTTGGTTATGTCTTAATGTTCCCTACACTAAAGCGTGCAGGTTTACTTACAAAAAATGTATAACTGCACCAAAACCTAAAGCATGCAGGGATAGAGTAGAGTACTCGAAATTGGGGGAGGTACAGTATATGAATGACCTGTAACCTTGGGGGCTTGGGGGCATGCTGCCCCGAGAAAATTTTAAAATTTGAACCTCGGAAATGCTATTTCCTGCGTTTTCAGCCATGGATTCGTCCAACAACTTTGCTGTACTAAGCCTAAGGAACACGCATTGTCCTTTATTTTAAACAAGGGACTAATCACAAAATGAGCTTTGATTAATATGTAATAAAACAAGATTTCAATAATGCGATTTTTAACTGCCCTCCGAAGCAACAATGTTCCACCAAATATAGCTCTGTAGCTGTTCAATCGTTCATACAAATAGCTTGTTGGGGATCGGGTTGCATCCTCTTCAGAATTTTTTAAAATCTAGACTATCTAAACTGGCATTTTCGCATTAAAATCATCGTATATACAGTACGTTCAACTTGCATCCTGTAGATGGGCCTTTGAAGCTTTAATAGTTTGGAGCTATGTTATCAAAAAACGCACACAGATTCAACCATCCAAAAATACTTTTTCTACCATGCATATTAGATATGTATAAATAACTTATACATATCTTAAGCCCAGATTTTCTCAAGGGGGGCAACAATTTTGCCAGGGAACGCCACTGGCTATGTATAGGTTATTTTGAGGCAACGAGGGGATATGTGATTTATTCACCGAGGCGCGCAGCGCCGAGGTGAATAAACACATATCCCCGAGGTGCCTCAAAATAACGTACTTATTTTTCACACTGCGAGGTCGCGTTAATGAGTCAGAAAAGAAATAATTCTCAATGCCATTTTGCCTTCGCGATGTTGTTTTTTTCTCATCAATTTTTGTGCTGCAAAGACATTGCAGGTGAATATTAGAGGGGATTATTAATTGCAGGTGAATATTAGAGGGGATTATTAAACGGAAATTGATTAGAGGAGAATATTGAATATATTCCCCGACAAGAACAAAGGAAACCGAGCAGGGTGAAAAATAAGGTATGTTATAGACTCCAAAGGCGCCAGAATCCCTGTGATGTTGTCCACTGTTCACCCAGTGCTCTTTTAAGCAAACGTGCCTGCTCAAAAATGCAAAATCTTGCAAGCCTGTGGACACAATACTGAAGTGAAGAACGTCAGTAGATTTACATGTAGGAATTTTTTTTGAGCGCTTTCTTTTGCATGATATTTTTTTCTTCGATTGTATGCTGCATGTTTTTTTTTCTTTCTCCTTGGATTGCAGGAATTTTTTTTCGAAATCTTCCAACCCCCCCCCCAAAAAAAAATCAAATGGTCCGCCCCTTATACTTGTAAGTGACAATGTACTTTAATGCGCTACTTGTAGTTTAATTTTTAAGGCTGTATGAACAGAATGACAATGTACACTACAGTATAATAGTAATTATTTTAGTCAAAATCATTAATCAAATGATGTTATATTTATGTACGTAATGAACTTCACTTCACCACTTCTTCTTTCTTTTGCTATGTTTGGTACTATGTATTATAATTTATCTTACTGATCTTCCAAAATAAGTGATGTTTTGCTTGAATTCAGGGCTTGAATTTTATCGCGGCAATTGCTGTAGAGGGAGAACAAAATGCTGTGGATTATTGCGGCAATGACGGCAATTTTTTGCCGTATAGTATGATTTTTAAACTCATGTTCACTGTGCATTACTATTTTGATACTTGAATTCAGATGTTGATCAAATCATCCGTAAATTACTATTTTAGTCTCAGTTTTCTTCGAAAAAAACCCACTAAAGAAATACGTAAACATGTTTCTAGCTTGTCAGCAATCCAAAGTCTGTAACAATAAAATTAAATTTTTATTACAGCAATTTGAAAAAAAAAAATGCCGTGGAAACTGACAAAATTGCCGTAGACAGCTGTTACGTTCTGCGGCAATTTTTAACGCCATTGCCGTCAATCGATTTCGGCGAAATTCGAGGCCAACTTGAATTCCAATTGGAACATAACAAACATCGTGTTGGTTAGCTTGTATACTTTTGTATATAAATTTTTTCCTGTGACCAGACGGAAAGTAGCCGGCGGTAAAAGTTCAAGTAGCCGGCCGAACTCCGCCGGCCGCCGGCTTATTCTGAAACCCCTGCAGCCAAGTAGATTATCACTCTGACAAGTGACAATAACACGTCTATATATACAGCCATCCAAAAGTCCCAAACATGTTCACTCCAAATTGTTCATTATTTTTTCATCGACAACTCACTAGTCTCGAGTATCATATTTTTAGGCCTTTATAATTATATTATGGGTTTCAGTTTGTAAACAAAATAGATAAACAGTTCGTATATATTAACAATAGTGAAATAGTGTAATAAAGAAAATTTTATAGTCATTAAAACCTCGATTGATGGGCTTCAACAAGCGATTTCTCTGAAGGATCAACATTGCAGCTATGTTTGGAGCAATCTCCAATCCTTCTAGGATTCTTTTCTTGACAACCTTTGGTAGAAGCTTGAGGATGCAGCTCATGCAGGTATATCATGGCCATTCATGGGCAGACGCAGAAATGGAATGCGCTCTCCATCGAGGAAAACAATAAAATAGATACACTTTGATACACTTTCGAAGCATCCCTGTTAGCGTAGTATCCTTTCCTACTCGTCATGTTGCCTCAATAACTCGTTATTTGACGGACTGTCGCTCAAAAAAGCTCAAAATATTTTGGAAACTTCTTCGCTCCTTGGGCATTAAATTCAATTGCGATAAAAACAACGCGCGTGTTATTGCCAGAAATGAGACTGGACCGAGCACAAACAGAGGATGACAACTTCCTGTGTGTCCCCACATAAACAAAAGTCCAGCACATGCGCAGATGCGACTGTAACCTACCTTTAATATTTTGTAAGTCACATCTACAGCCATTCATTTTTAAATATCCACATTGCACTTCCTCAGAGTCAGATTCTGATGACATAGAGTCAGACTGAGGAGATGTTTCCAATTATTTTTAACAAAAAAATCAACTGTAGATTGTTTTTTCCCCACAACTGTTGTTTTTCGCTTTTGACTTGTTACTTGTTTTTTTGCCTCTCCAATGAAGTTACAATTTCATTTACTTGTTCCACAGCATCATCTTCAAAATAATTCTTGGCAATTAAAGTTTTTAATGCTGTCATATGGTACCTTGTCCTTGGTTTAAGTTGTTAAACAATAGGCTCAGCACACAAATCCACTTGAGCGATTTTTTCAGTACCATTCTCCAGAGATTCGTACTTGATTCTGCCACTTGTAATAATCTTTGTGACATCACACGCTCTTGCGTTTTCTCTTGCATTAGTTTCTCTGCATCACTTTTGGAGGAAATTTTCCTGCAGTTAATAAATTACAATTAGTAATGATTGTTGTGTGACATTCCTCTAATTTCGATCGATTTTAGTCCATCCAATTTGTTGTCGTAAAATTTGACTTCATTGGCTTTCCAGGATTTGGAAATCCACAAATCTTTGGCTGGTACTGGCCTTACGTTTTTCAAAAATTATCTTTGTTTTTAATATCCTCCAGGCAAAACATGTTAAAATAGATATACTTACAATTACTTGTAGCATTGTTGGAAGCAATCGACATTGGTGTAGTACACTGGCTTGCCGTGTCTTTATCCTGTACCCCGTGTTTGATCAGTTCGAAATTCAAACTCAAAATTTCGATTGCATACAAAATTATCGTTTTCGATGACCTGACTTGTCATACAGTGCAACTTCTTTCAAAACATAAATAATTTCCTTTGGCTGCATGTCCAAGAGTTGCTTTAGATCATCATACCCAAGCTCCATCAACTTGTTGACATACTGTGAATGGTGGTTCTTCTCAACTCTCAAGAAATGTTCTAATTTTATCCGCCATGTTGTTCCAAAACTGTGATGATTGAGCCAGCATGCCGAAAGTACAGCTTTTGCACATAACTACTTCGTGTAGCGTTACATAAAGTTGCACTTTATATGTCCTATTAAGGAGGCTCCCTACAGTTGCGTGCGGGATGTTCGCGGGACCAGTACGTGAACTATCCCACGCAACCGCATGATCAAAACAAAACAAAAATTGACCACGCTTGTTTTAAAAATAAAGCTATTTCTGAAAAGTTTCGTTTTGAGTGCCAAATCACTTGCGAGTCTATACAGCAATTCTACATATGATACGAATATCACTAGACAAAAAATAGCTACGAAACAATGTTTTTTAATTTTTTTAAATATACACTGTCAACTGTAAAACATTTGCAAAATTGCATACAAACGTTTAAAAAGTTATTTACTTCTCAAGAAAACGTTCACGTTTTTAGTCGTGTTTCTACAAGATTAAAGTGATTATATGTAAACAGAAAAATATTTCAGTTCCATAGCCTAATTGTTCATTTTTAGCAAAAACTGCCAAAAAGTACAAAACCAAACATGAAACAAAAAAACACGTCCACCTGCATGTTAATAGCTGTTACAGCTCATAGATTGAGTAAACGGCAGGGTTTAATTAGCTTCAACCTTCTTTTCATCGATTTGATTCTTCACATTAATCCTTGGCTGTCCATGGCACTCAAATAAATCGAAAATTTGACAAAAACAAAACAGTAAATACAACATTTCCGCTCGATTTTGCTGAATGAAAACTCGTTCTGCGCCCGCGTACAATCTTGTACTAGTCAGCGACGCTTTTCAATAAGGGGAATTTCTCGAGTTACACGAGGCTATTTTCTAACTTTATTTGCATTTTACGCATTAGTTTCATCGGTGACCTGTCTTCAAATTTTGACCACGAATTTATTTTGCGGTAAATTATATAAATTTCAATTTTTAAAAAAATCTGTAGTGTGGAAATTTCGCAATAAAATTTTCGCTTTTAAAAAAATCACACACTACAGAATTTTTTTAAACTTTCACCACAGTTGCAGAGCATCATTCCCTATTGATATATGAAATAAAAAAGATGGGTCACCGACATCGTTTTTGAGATAGCGGCACATTTATGGGTTAAATTGGAAGGTTTTGTGCTGTCGTCATGTTGCCATGGTAACACTGACGTTGTCGAAATCTAGTTCGAAATATTCCTTAGGTGACCAATATTGTCACCAAGTCGAAACGAATTTGCGTTCCGCACAAATAAGCCTGTTTTACGGAATTATTGGGTAAACAAGAATAACTGTAGGGAGCCACCTTAATCTACATTCTAATGTTTATGCGTTTATTCATGATCACGATGATGCAAAAAAAAATATGAAAAATCCAATAGAATTTGCACTGATATGCGTTTGACAACTAATGTTGTTGGCTCACTGCAAAATTGTAAGCTGAGTGCTGTGGAAGATTATTTTACTGTTACTAACTTCAAAGATAGAAGCAATAGACAACGAGCACAAATGCACGTCAGAGACTGTACTCATCGAAACAATCTTTGAGGAGCATTCTAATTTTGGTATACTGCACCACTATCAGACCAGTACTCGAATATGCCTGCCAAGTTTGGCACTTCAATATTACAGAATACCTAAGTGAAGATATCGAAAAACTCCAGAAGCGGGCTCTGCGTATTGTCTTGCCATTCGCTACTTATAGAGAAGCTTGCAGTATTACTGGTATACCCTTACTGAAAGATCGGCGGCGATTATTATGCGAACGTTTTTTTGTTAAAAATGCACATGGAGACAAATTGGGTGACCTCTTGCCGCCTAAACTTGAACATAACTATAATACACGTTATGGAAGCGATTATAATAACTATAGTTGTAAAACGGACAGATTTATGAAATCGTTTTTTCCACAGATGGTTTCACATATGAATAGACCATAATTTTAATATTTTTAATATTTTTAAATTTGAACTCTATAACTTTTTCAACTGAAGTTATGAATAATTTTATGCATCTAGATATTCTATTGTAGTATAATGAGACTTTTTACTGATGTAATTTAACCTAATAGGTTACAAATCGGTATTTTTATTAAATTATTATTAATTAATTTGTTATATAAAGTTAATATGACAAAGTGACTCAGCTAGTGCATGGTTTGATCAAAGTGACTGCTATACTGTACATATTGATGTATAGCAGGATGGGTCATGAAATTTTTCCAATGACCTACGATGGGCTTTGAAATTTTTTGTAGGTTCTCAGGATGGGCCACTGGGTTTTTTTTGGAAAACTTATTTTTCCCTCCGGCCCACCCTAGCAGTTACTTTATGACCGGTCCCTTAAAGATTAGGCCAGCCTTAAGCTTTTTGCGTCTTAAGAAAAGGCGATCTAAGTGTAAAGTATTTAATAGGGTGCTTGCACTGGTATCGTAGCTAGACCTCGTAATGACCCTTACCGCTCGGTTCTGCAATTTCTGTATTTTACAGCTTAATGTTTCACCAAGACCGTCCCAGACCGAGCAACAGTAGTCAAATTGGGGTTGAATTAAAGATTGGTAAACTTGAATAGCAGTGTTCATGGTAATAAACGGTCTAATGCGTTTTAAAGCGCCTATAGCTGAAGCAATTTTTTTACATAATTTGCGAATATGTACTGACCAAGAAAGGTGTTCGTCAATGTGTAGCCCTAAGGATTTGACGAAATCAACCCTATTTATTTTATTATCATTTATCTTAATATTCATTTCCCCATCTATAACTCTTATTTTCTGGCGAGAACCAATAATCATAAACTCTGTTTTTACGATATTTAAGCTTAATCTATTGGTTGTAAGCCAACTATTGAGATTTTTGAGGTCAGAGTTTATGATATTTTCCAGTTCTTCTACAGAATTTGAGGCATAACTGACGCTCGTATCATCTGCAAACATGCTGGGTGTTGTATGATTGAGGCAGTTTGGTAAATCATTAATATAGACAAGAAAAAGTAGTGGCCCCAAATTGCTTCCACGAGGAACGCCACAGGTTATTGAGACGGAGTTTGACAATCGATCATTGACCAGACATTTTTGAGTTCTATCGGTCAGGGGTTTCAGAATAAGCCGGCGGCCGGCGGAGTTCCGCCGGCTACTTAAACTTTTACCGCCGGCTACTTTTCGTCTGGTCACAGGAAAAATTTTATATACAAAAGTACAAGCGAACCAACACGATGTTTGTTATGTTCCAATTGGAATTCAAGTTGGCCTCAAATTTCCCTGAAATCAATTGACGGCAATGGCGTTAAAAATTGCCGTAGAACGTAACAGTTGTCTACGGCAATTTTGTCAGTTTCCACGGCATTTTTTTTTTTCAAATTGCTGTAATAAAAATTTAATTTTATTGGTACAGACTTTGGATTGCTGACAAGCTAGAAACATATCAGTTTACGTATTTCTTTAGAGGTTTTTTTCGAAGAAAACTGAGACTAAAATAGTAATTTACGGATGATTTGATCAACATCTGAATTCAAGTATCAAAATAGTAATGCACAGTGAACATGAGTTTAAAAATTATACTATACGGCAAAAAATTGCCGTCATTGCCGCAATGATCCACAGCATTTTGTTCTCCCTCTACAGCAATTGCCGCGATAAAATTCAAGTCCTAAATTCAAGCAAAACATCACTTATTTTGGAAGATCATTAAGATAAATTATAATACATAGTACCAAACATAGCAAAAGAAAGAAGAAGTGGTGAAGTGAAGTTCATTGCGTACATAATTATAACATCATTTGATTAATGATCTCGGATTCATTAAATAATTACTATTACTGTAGTGCACATTGTCATTCTGTTCATGCAGCTGTAAAAAGTAAACTACAAGTAGCACATTAAGTATAAGGGGCGGACCATTTGAATTTTAAGGAGGGGGGGGGGAAGGAGGGGGGGGGGTTGAAAGATTTCGAAAAAAATTCCAGCAATCCAAGGACAAAGAAAAAAAAAATCATGCAGCATACAATCGAGGAAAAAAAATTTGCAAGAGAAAGCGCTCAAAAAAATTCCTACATGTAAATCTACTGACGTTCTTCACTTTAGTATTGTGTCCACAAGCTTGCAAGATTTTGCATTTTTGAGCAGGCACATTTGCTTAAAAGAATACTGGGTGAACAGTGGACAACATCACAGGGATTCTGGCGCCTTTGGAGTCTATAACATACGATAGCCAGTGGCGTTCCCTGGCAAAATTGTTGCCCACCCTGAGAAAATCTGGGCTTAAGATATGTACAAGTTTATAAGTTATTTATACATATCTAATATGTAGCCTTCTCCGCAGGCAACTCTTCCCTAACAATCCCTAACTTTAAATTCGCTGTTATTCATAATATTTCTGCCAAAGAGTTGCCTGCGGAGGAGGCTATCTAATATGCATGGTAGAAAAAGTATTTTTTGATAACATAGCTCCAAACTATTAAAGCTTCAAAGGCCCATCT